TGATGCTGTAAGATGATACTAGCCATGCTTGCTTGATATTCAAAGGTTTGTGTAACAAGTCAAGACAAAGACACCTGAGATGGTATCAGTTGTCAGACAATTAACTCACCTGGGACAAACAGGTGGAACAAGTTTACAGGGCTCACTTCATGCTGCGGAAGTATTTGGAAAGTTCAGAACTTGTCCTCGATGGTTATGAACATGGTCCCTGGTCTGTAGTTGTGATGGATATAAGATTGGTCTTTCTGAAAACTAGTTAACTGACAAAATTGAAAGTGGGGTTAGTAGCAAATAAATTAATCTTATCTTCATTTTCCCATAAAAGTATGATGAATAGAAACAACATAAAATATATTTTCTCTCTCTCTCTCTCTCTCACTCTCTCTCTCTCTCTCTCTCTCTCTCTCACTCACTCTCACTCTCTCTCTCTCTCTCTCTCTCTCTCTCTCTCTCTCTCTCTCTCACTCTCCTCTCTCACACTCTCTCTCTCTCTCTCACTCACTCTCTCTCTCTCTCTCTCTCTCTCTCTCTCTCTCTCTGTCTCTCTCTCACTCACCACCTCACCACTCCACCACCTCTAAGTTTTGTATAATAATTTACCTTTGCTATAAGTTTTCTTACATAATGTCATGGTTTAAAATATATTTTATAAATATATTTTCTCTCTCTCTCTCTCTCTCTCTCTCTCTCTCTCACACTCTCTCTCTCTCTCACTCACTCACCTCTCCACTCTCTCTCTCTCTCTCTCTCTCACTCACTCACTCACTCCACCTCTCTCTCTCTCACTCTCTCTCTCTCACTCACACTCTCTCTCTCTCTCTCTCACTCACTCACTCACTCACTCACTCACTCTATATGTTTTGTATAATAATTTACCTTGCTATAAGTTTTCTTAGACATGTCATGGTTTAAAAGAACAATGATATGGTATGCTTGAAAGTCTACTCATCCACTTCTCTAATAAATAGTTGTAAAGAAATCAGCCCCCAACGGCAGCAACACTAGACCAGTGTTAACCACAGCCTTCACCCAACACTTCCTAATACTAATAGCCGGCTAGGAAATTACATTTTGATGTTGTCTCACACCTGTTCGGTGTTACCATGTTTGCATTTAGCAGATGCTCAGGTAGACAGAGGTAATGGCCGTGTCTACATGACTTGGGGGATGTGTATCCCTGTCCAGCTACATCCAGCCTCCCCCCATCACAATCCAGCATCCCCCAACACCATCACAGACAGGTCTGCATGCACATTCACCTATGTGGCTGATGGGACTTTCTTGTTAGGACAATTGATTTTTCATTATCTTAGAGGATTATACTGGAAATTAGTCTGTCAGTTTACTGGTGTTGAGTAATGGGCTTGTCTATCAACAGAAACTGTACCTGGGTTGATACATAGTTGTTAAGGTGATGGGTGTAATAAGAAATCAGTTACCATGGTAAATGTACCTTCTTGAACCCGAACTGGGAGTATGTAGATTTGGTTGCTCTGCAGTAATATGGACACAATTACAGATATATAAAGGTGAATAGGTAAAGATGGAAATTCTGTCCCTGCCAGCTTTGACTGAATTGAAGCATTTTTAATTCAGGTCCTCGGGTGGGGTGTGTTGAGTTGTAATATTATCTAAAAACATTTTTCTCAAACAAGTTTAATAAGCATGTATCCTATGTATATCTTGTGAATTAATGACATTAAGAAGGATCACTAACTTTCAGAAAAAGGAATGTACTTGAAGTTGTTGACGTCCTTTGAGCGCATTATAGCTCATTCATTTATAACATTGCGTTAAATGTAGCTGGGATACGCCCCCTCCTTATCAATGCATCATCACCATTGTGATGACAACTTACTGTTAGGATTAGTCATCTCACTGAGCTGACAGCCATTGTTGAGCAGTTCGGAGGCATTGTACCTTAAACCTGTAGCTGCTTATTTGACATTTTGTGGAGATGATTATGGCAATTTGATTAATTTTGCTAATGGAATGGATATTGAAAGTTTGTTATCCGCTGTGATGGAGGAATGCCACTATTGTCAGTGATATGTAGAGTAGTTGTGTGGGAAATGTTTTTTCCCAGTGACAGCCACACGCAGTGATGAGCAATGACTTTCAGTACATCTGTCAGATTGTGCTAGTCAACAGTTGTGTCCCTTATGTGTGCAGGATCCGATGATCATTATTTTATCTTATTTCAAAATTCTTTCCTGTTAAAACTAGATGCAATTTTCTGTTTGATTTTTTATTTTCTGACATCAAGTCAGCAAAAACAATCTGATGCAGAGTAGCCATTAGTCTTTTGGTAATGATGGTGCCACCAGTCCATTCTTCATTTTGTAGTCTCAGACTCGTGACCTATTTGATCCCTGTGTTATATTCATTGGGTGTGTCAGAACTGCAGTCTTGTTCATTGATTTTACCTTAGTCAGTTTTGCCTTCTCCCACAATGACTTTTGATGCAGTGATATGACTTTACTACTGTTGAGAAGCAACCCCGATGGTTCACATACTGCTAGACTTACATCTAGTCTCTGAAATGAACATTTTACAGCGGGAAAAATCCTAAGTTATATTAATGAAATATGATAAAAAGGAGCCCAAACTGTGGTAGTCCAGACTTGCCACATGGACTGCATTGTTTCTGGGTCTGTATGACAGACTCATCCACTGCAGATACTGGGCCATTACAAGCAAGGCCACATCTAAGACAGGAACATTCACCAAGATTCTGACTGACTGACTGACTGAGTTTAGTTTTACGCCGCTTTTAGCAATATTCCAGCAATATCACAGCGGGGGACACCAGAAATGGGCTTAACACATTGTGCCCATGTGGGGAATCGAACCCGGGCCTTCGGCGTGACGACCAAGACTCTGAGGGCGGTGGGGTAGCCTAGTGGTTAAAGCGTTAACATGCCAAGACCCGGGTTCGATTCCCCACATGGGTACAATGTGTGAAGCCCATTTGTGGTGTTCCCCGCCATGATATTGCTGGAATATTGCTACAAGCGGCGTAAAACTAGACTCACACGCACCAAGAATCTGTGCATCCTGATACTGTGTGACAATGTGTGATGACTGATATGATCATGACACTTATGACAGTTTGGACCATAGTAGGGATTCACTATTTTTACGAACACACAGTTATCATTCACAGACAATATATAATGTGATACACCTTGATTGGTATCAGTTAAAAGTTTGATCCGGTATTCTTTCTGGCTTTTTCTGTACAATGCTGGTATGGAACCTTGTCCATTTAGAACAGATACTATCTCACCATGTCTCACCAGAATAGTTTTATTAGCCAGTAAATTTGCAGGTGTATCTTTTGTTAACCTAAATGAAATATATGAAGAAAGAGTTCTCAAGTCAGCCCGTAAGATTATATCTGATCCAGATCATCCCATCCACTATAAATATAAATTACTGCCTTCTGGGCGCCGTTTATAATTTACCCCGTCTTAAATCCAATCGTGCCATGAAATCCTTTGTTCCTGCCAGTATTAATCTTTTAAATGATTCCTAGTGTTTGTCTTACCGTGTTAGCGTGTTATATGTGTGTATTTATTGTATGAAAATAATTTAATCATTTTATTAATGTTTAAGCTCTGTATTTTTCACAAGAATTCCCTCACGGGTATTAAAGTATTGTCATTGTCATTGTCATTGCTGAATATGAATCATATATTGTTTGGGTTAAGTTCATAACATTAAAGCTTTTGTGAGTTGTTATTTAAGTGAAAAGTAGAAACAGTTATTCTACCACAATATTTTTCCAAAACACGTCAAGGTATATTATTTCTTAATATTGACTGCAATGTCTAGCATCATATAACTATGCTTGATGACATTGATCCTATTATGAAAACATAATGGTATTTTCATGTCCTGGGCTAACATAGAATAAGTGATGAATAATGTTTAGGTCTTCAATATGTACTTTGGTAATCTTAATTTAATATTTATTGTATGGGGACTTTCAACATTATGGGAAGTTTTCGTAACTTGTTTTCAGATATTTATTTCAGTGTGCATAGTTAACATAGCTTGATTTTTCTAAACAAGTGATGTCTTATGTTTAGTGGAGAATTCGCTTTTTTCCCTACAGTATCATTGTGAAGCATACAACTTTATTGATAACAATTTCCTTTATAGCATTTATATCAGTGTGCGAGTTTTACGCTGTTATCAATCTAAGAGTAGTTGTATACTTCATTCTTGACTCACCAACTTCTAGAAGGAGCATCAATGTGTTATGGAAGTAAAATGGATTGTTCAATTCATTGATCATTGTGATTGTTGCAACCTGAGATATGAATTTGGCAAAGAAATCTATCAAGAAAATAGCGATCACAATGTTATTTTTATAGGATGATAAATCTATTATGACAAATAGCATGGACCGGCCTTTGCAACCATGCTTCAGTCTGATGTGACACAGAATGGCAATAGTGAATCTGTGCGAAGTTGTTGATGTAGAGCTGTGGTATGGAATTGACCCAGGCTTGGAATGGTAATCATGGTAATGGAAGGGTAATGTGATGACATGGATGATCAGAGATGGGCTGATTGCTAATTATTGTCAATCAGTTTTGCTCAAAACCAAACATGCTGATTGGACAATTTTCAAACTGCTTGATTTTCTGGTTCCTAACAGAGTTTTTAATTCTAGAAAGTTTAGGGATTTATCTGGACTTATTCAGAGGTCAGTATTTAACACCAAGACTGCAGCAATTTTAATACCAATGAGAATTCCAATTTGAACCAAACATTTTCCAGTTTTTCTGAAAGTTTATAAAACATCAAGAATCCTGACAGGACAGTATTATGATGTTTTCCCAAATTGTTGACAAAGTGACTTGCTTTGGAATCTCTGATACACCCTGAAGTTGTTCTCCAGATTTGGTGCAGTGTCAGGCATGTTGTGGCGCCTGTGTGTGGAGTGCCCCTGTATGTGTCACATGTAAGCATGGTGTTGTTTGTTGCAGGGTGAACCAGGAAGACATCCGGCTGATGCTGTGGGACACCGCGGGACAGGAGGAGTTTGATGCCATCACTAAAGCCTACTACAGAGGTATAGTGGCATTGCACTTATACACACATATACACAGATATACATAGGTATACACTTATGCACAGATATATACAGATACACACAGATATATACACCACCTGACAGGAGGAGTTTGATGCCATCACTAAAGCCTACTACAGAGGTATAGTGGCATTGCACTTACACATGCATATACACAGATATACACATATATACACATATACACAGATATACATAGATATACACATATACACAGATATACACAAATATGCACAATTATTTATAATCAAATATACACCAATGTACACCGATATACACAGGCATACATAGATTTATCTGTGATTCCTTGGGAAGCAAAACCTCTACTGCGATGCTTTGCCCAAGTTGATAAGTGTCTCTATCATCACAAAACATTGTTACTTTTTATTTTAAAATGCACTGATGAAAATCTCACATTTAATCAAAACAGGAATTTTCTGATACATGCTGAATTACATCTTGGCCTAAGGGTAGGCTTTCTTGATGATAATCATCAGAGTAGATGACTTTGCATTCTCTCTCTAACTTTAAGGCATTCACCTTCTGTTAACAGTTGTTTTTTAATTGTAACACAAATTCAAATTCATTTGTAAAATAATCAAAGAAATCTGGAGTCACTGATCCTGACCGTCTGCAGCGACAGTATTTTCAGTAGATTGTTTCCAGTGTTTCTCATGATAGGTAAGACCGCCTCCGTGGTGTAGTGGTTAGAGTGTCCGCCCGGACAGCGGAAGGTCGCGGGTTGGATCCCGACCAGCGTCATACCAAAAGACGTTAAAATATGGTACTTGTTGGTCCCTGCCTGGCGCCGGCATTAATGGGTACAACAAGGACTGGTCGGCTCGAAGTCAGTATACTGTGTCTGAGTGGGGTATTCATGCTTCACTGCGGCATGGTATCTCAGTGGGCTAGCACTATAAAACCAGCTTAAGTCTGGGCTAGTACAAGCTGCCGCACATACACATACACACGCATGCATGTCGTCATATGAGCGAAATATTCTCAAGTATGACGTTAAACCCAATCTCACCTCACCTCACCATGATAGGTAAATGTAATGATCCTTTCAAGTTGCTGTGTTTGTGATTTGGGCTGAGATGTGAGGGACAGGACCTGGTTGTGACTGACAGGACGAGTCAGATGAACGATGTGCCAAGCCAGATAATGTAGCTACTTCTCCCATATTGGGCCTACAAGTTGTTTGAATCTTGTTTAGATAGGATAAATTTCTCCTGTATAGAGAGTCACATGAGCAGAACCCTTAGCTATTAGCCAGTCCCCAATAATACATTGGTTGAGGGTGCCAGTCATGACCTTTACATCATTACTCGCTTGATAACAGTGTCGCTCATATATTGAGGAAGTTGTATATCCATAGAACGCTCCTTGTTGTTCTAATGGGATCGGGTGGTCAGGCTTGCTGACTTGGTTGACACATGTCATCGGTTGCCATCGATGCTCATGCTGTTGATCACTGGATTGTCTGGTCCAGACTTGATTATTTACAGACCACCGCCATATAGCTGGAATATTGTTGAGTGCTGCGTAAAACTAAACTCACTCACTCACTCCTTGTTGTTCATCACACCAACTTCTAAATGCCACTCAAAGAAGTTGTGACTTTTACATGTTGTTAATGCTGTGAATGGAAACACAGGTTTTTGGCATCACAAGCAATCTCTTCACCCACTAGGCTACCCCATCCCTCACACCCCATCGGAGAGATGTCTAGTTAAGTCTAAAGCATCTTGAATGATATTTACAGAAGACTTAAGACTTACTGTAAAAGATATTGTTTTAATGGTGTCGCGTTTAATTCACGTTGCAGTTACTGCATTAATTTATCTCATTCTGCATTTAATAAATATCATCTTTGCGTCTTTAAGGCGTGCTGCGCAGATAGATCCACGCAAACAAAGGGCAAAACATGGCAGAGAGTCCAGATATTCCTTCCAGTCAGCTGCTAGCGATCTGACCCTCTCCGTCTGGTGTTCTGCTAGAGACCCCTGCGGCAGAGGAACGTGGGGCAGTCCGTTACCTCAGAAAACGACCGGCCTCCCCAGACATCCCGTCATTACAGACTAAGTCTAAGAGGACCTCATCGTGCGCCTCAACGTAGATTGAGGACACCCAGGGCAGCGCGAACTTCCAAAGGAAATCTACGAAGACAGCAAAGAACTTTCAGCGAGATCGTTCCAGCAGCAGAGTTGGGCCTCTCACGATGATCAGCCGATAATCATCCCCGACTTACGGCAGAAGAAGCTGACCGGTGTCAGCGACTGTGACTTCTGCAGAGATCTCCATGCAGCCTGATGCCTCTACACCAACGTCAGAGCGTCATTGATGTGAACCCCATCGCCCAGAAAAGGCGCCGACGACCGTCTAGATCATCCCAGAAGACATGATCGCGCAGATTATGAACATCATGGAGGACTACTACTAAACTCGCCAGTAGAACCTCCGAACCGAAGCTCCAACGTGACAGCACCCCAGAGGCACCCCGTCCAGCGTGGCAGCCAAGACGATGTCAATACCTGGCGAAGGAAGTCCCGCACCACCTTGAACGAGAGGACCTAGATGTACAGCCTTCGCAAAGCCCTTCGGCGGCGGCGGGAGAGATCATCACCATCTTGATTTCATCTCTAGATATGGACTCAGACCATCAGACATCACGGAAGCCCACGCGAAGGTCATATCATCGATCCCCGGACGGGACGCAAATGAAGCTGCAAAGGCATTCGCGAAGACATATGATTCCAGATCTTCATCGTCTAGAAAGAACATCGAGGGACTGCCGAAGAGCTTCGCCGGGCTATCAACATTCACCTCACAAGTCTCCGAGAAGATCATCCCATAGACGATCTCCACTCCGTTCATCACCAGGTTCAATTGATCACCCATCAGATCTCCACATAGAAGCGAGCACTGGAGTCAACTAGATCGCATTACAAACCTCATCAGATATTCAGACAGCTACCGCGGTCCCGGAAGAGCATCTACAATTTATTAATGATGATGGTTTTGAGGATGATGGAGGAATCATATTTTCTGATGCAGAGATACGGTATTGGATGGTCAATAACCTAGATCTCACATCACCATCTAAAAGTGGCAATACAGCTCAGGCGTATTTGATGAAGGAAGATGATCCAGATGCAATCACTCTACCCCGATCGACCCGATTGCGGCAGTGCCACAGAATCTAGATGCAGCTTTCCAGAAAGCTACGAAAGTTCAGATACCACATCTACCCAACTTTCAAGCCAAGAAGTTCTCCACGCATAACATGGACTCCTTCTACAAGGCCCAGGACATCGATGAGAACTATAAGATCATCAGCGATGTAAAGAACAAGATTTACAAGATGGATGATCGCAAGTTGGCTCATATAGAAACCATGACCATGAGACGTATGTTCTTTGGGTTAAATAGATCTAGGGGCCGATCAATGAGACTCTTATTACTAGATTCGGATTCCAATGACGGAAGATGATAGAATGATTTATTCTGCCTTACTTATGCAAAAGAAAGATCAGCAGTTTTTAACGGATCATCTTTTACATCTGTTTCAGCAGCACTGACCTTAGCTCGTCGTCAAGGCCTCCTCGCCTCTGTAATTGGGGGAGAACTTTACAGCCCACTTTATATACAGCCCCGTGTCAATTGACAACATCCATCTTTGACGGAGAAATCGACAAGGTCGCCAAGGAAGTCTCTAAGGATTCCAGGAAGTCCTTATGATTAGATCGATGGACACACTAGCCAGCGTCATTAGTCCAGACTTCACAAAGATACTCAGGCAAGATCTAAGTTCACGGGCCTACAAAAGAGCAAGAGACAGGAAGATAGCCAGCTCTAGAGGTAAAGATTCTTTTAAATGCATCCCATATGGCAACTATAGAGGAGGATCAGGAAGAGGCAGGACACCCAGAGGTTCCTCGCAATTATAGACGCTGAAACATTGGGTTCGGAGGACGACTGGAGTCTTCCACCCCAGCCGTTCCAGTACAACCAGCTCAAGTGGTGGGCGTTGTACTCCAACTACACTGGGAAAACTGGGAATACTGCAAGATCATTCACGTCTCCAACATTATTCAACAGTTTTTATGTATATTTCATCCCTCTACAGGACAAGCCTCCGCTGACAATCAAACCCCCAAAGTTCGATTTACAAGCAACAACTACCAAAGATAAAGAGGCTGTCTCATCACTCCTATCCAAACAGGCCATAGAAGTAATAGATCAAGCAAACGTCGAACCAGGTTTCTACTCCCAGTTTTCCTAGTTCCCAAGAAAAACTCCACGGAGAAATACGGACTCATCTACAACATGAGCTTTTTCAACAAGAACTATCTACGCAAACCACGAAGTTTCAAGCATGATACATTTACCTCAGTTACGCCAGATGATTCGTGCCCCTTATGGACTACATGGGCAGCATAGATCTACAGGATGCCTACTTGCACATCCCCATTCATCCCGATTCCAGGAAATACCCTCACGATTTACTCCTAGAAGGGCTACATTACCAGTGGAAAGTACTCCCCATTCGGAATATCATCAGCCCCTGGCTATTCACGAGGATAACGAAACCGATTATCAAATTTCTACATCGCCAGGGCGCTACACGAGTCAGCGTTTTACCTCGACGACGGGATACAAGTAGATCAAGATCCACTGCGTCTCAAACTACAGTTAAACTACATCATAAAGCTACTAACACAACTAGGTTGGTTAGTAAACTTACGCAAGTCGGACCTAGTACCATCGCCAAGACCTACAGTTCCTAGGTATTCGATTCATCACAAATCGCTTAACCGTGATATGGTACCAGAAGACCGTTGGCTCAAGATACAACAGACCATTCCACCAGCTCTACTCTCTCCGTTACCATCTGCGACAATGGCAGAGCCTACTAGGTCTTCTCACATCAGCCCAAGACATGACTGTCACAGGCAGATTACAGATTACGCCCCCTACAG